TTTTTATTTGCAGTTTCAACATGATTAAAATAATTTAGAAACAGATACTCCTAACTGGTGAGTGATTTAGTCTGGGGTTAGAATTAATATTCCACGTTTTCTCATTTTTAAACAGAGACCTATTTACTAAAAGCATTTTGAGAGAGGAATTAATATACACTTTTTATGTTGACTTTCCACCTTAATATTAAAAAGAGCATTTATTGGAGGAAAATATGATTTCACATTTAGTCTAGATAGTTTTGTATAATGAAAGTTTCATAGAGAAGAAAATATTGAAGTTTTAATGTTATAAAGGTTCATTTTACTCTAGTACATATTGAGTAGTTTATATCACAAAGAATCAGTTATTAATTTATTAAGTAAACCTGCCCAAAAAGTGAAGGTCCCAAAAGAAAAATAAATAAAGTTCCTATACTCTGACAATACAAAAATGGAAATTTATTTGAAAATCAAAATTAATTTTAAAATATATTGATTCACATTTCCTGAAAGTGTACCATACACTATTAAGAAAAAATATTCTAGAGAAAATTATGAATCACAAAAACAAATGAAACTTTAAAACAAAGGGGATGGGGGACTTTTCAACTCACATTGAGAAAAAAAATTGTATCTCTAAAGAAGGAGACATAATAAGAGGTCTTGACTTTATTATAAAATTTTGAAGGGATGAGCAAATAAATATAGAATTTAGGGGGAAAGCCACTAAAAAGAAAAGGGAGCAGTGGTAAATCTCAATTGAAATGATTCCATGAATATTTGAAGAGGGTAATGAGTGTAAAGAAGGTGTGGAGCAACTAGGACATTTAGGAAAGGTTTTAGAATGGGGTGCTATTTGTAAAATAAAAGAACTACAAAAGAAAGTAAGTAAATATACTCCAGAGTGTGGAATCTTGCTAATAAAGGCATTTTCCCCAGGGAAATTTCAAAGCCTTCTTGATCTAACTATAACTCTCTGCTAACTAAATTTTTTTTTTCCCCATGCAGTTGTCTCTGAGTTCTTTAACCTTTGCTGGAACACTGAGAAAGCTTGGCTTGTTTAACCTCGTTGTTTGAAGGCCAAAAGGATATAAGAGCCATTTAGCTTACCACACTTGAGTATTTTTAATACTAACTTCTCTAGTGTGAACAAAGCCCTTGAATATTTCACCCTGCAATTTTCACTCCTGAAACAAAGTGAAAATTATCAGGAACAAACTTATTAGAACTCTCCAAAGTTATCCAGGGGCTTGGTCCATAAAAAGGAAAATATTTAAGAGTATACTCAACAAATAAGTTAATAAAATTTTTTTAAATTAATTAATTTTGGCATAGTCAAATTGATCTGGCAATTCAATGTCTGTAGTTTTAAAACAACCTAGCATCATGATTGACATTTGGAGGTGGTTTCATTTGGGACTTTATTCATTCTCAAAGAGCTCCTTTCACACACATTTTTTTGTATCTAGGTTTTGATGGTAAACTATGTACAGGGCATATTTTCCATGTCATTTCTACAGACAACATGTAACCATGTTAATTATTTTAAACTCAATCTGAGAATTTTGTATGAGAAGTTTAACATATTTATTTTTATCATCATATCAGATATATTTGGTCTTAATTTTATCATCTTACTTTGGTTTTTCTTATTTGGTTTTATGTTTCCTTTGTGTCCTATCAAATTTTGGTACTTGGTCTTCAGTTCTTTTCCTCTAGAAATTTAACATACAAATCTTATTCCCTTTTATACTAGTGCTGTCTTTGAATTTTTTTCTATTTACATATATAATAAAACAGCTGATATTGACTAAGCATTTACTATGTGCTGGGCATTAGAGTAAAGCTAAAAGTAAATCCTCTATTCCTTACAATAATCCCATAAAATAGGTGCTTCCTCCCTACTTTACAAATATGAGAATCATCACTGATGCTAAGTAACCTATCCAAATTCAGAAAACTATTAATATAAGGAATGATAGTAGGAGTAGAGTGCAGGTCTGTTGAGCCTTCTGAGAGGTTGTGTTCTTACCATCATGATGCAATATGTCTCTTTAATTATCAATGTGGGGTGAATAAAAGGCTAGCTATGAAGATTAAGAACACAGAATGTGGAATGTAGAAGGAAACTAGGTTGGTGAGTGAATGTTGTCTTTTCTATCTCAGTTTGAAATAGCATTTATGTCATATATATTAATATATATTTTTAAATATTTTCTCCATTTATAATTTGTTTTAGTTTACTTCATAGTGTTTTCTTTCATTAAAATTGTAGTAACTCTCAATGGCCTTATTTTTAATTTCAATATTTGGTAATACTCTCAAATGGTGCTTTAAAAATAGTCACCTATAATTTCTTTTCTAATATTTGTTTTTTCACTTTAAATATTGAATCTTTTAAACATTTATTTTACTATATAACTTACTTTACTACATAGTTAAAGATCAACTTTAAAAATGTAATTTGCTATGTGATTTTTAGGAAATAATTTTTCTAATGAACTATATACATATGATGCGATACATGGACACATGCATATACACATATCTACTTCTTGTGTCTACAAACAGTTCAAGTGATATGTCTGTCAATAGTCTGGTAACCCATCATACAAATTTTAACTATCTTAGTGTCATAATACTTTTTAATAATGATTGAAAAGTTCTTCATTATACTTTATCCTCAATCCTGGCTATTTTGGATTTTATACCTGATACACTATGAAACATTACTTTTGGAGAATCATTTTAGAAACATTATGTACAAATAGTATTTTAGGAGAAAATTTAGATTAATACCTTGAAAAACATTAAAAAACATAATTGGCAGGCTAAGAATTGTGTAAAACCTAAAGATTAATTTAAAAAGAATACATGGCAAGGATTTACTTTTCTTTAATGAGAAATATTATTCAATCCCTAAATGACTAATTGGGTTTCAATGAATATTAGCATTTCTTATCATTTGCACTACTGATATTATTTTCATGATATCAAACCATGTCTTCCTGCTTCAAGATAAAGCAATATAGATTATGTTTATTTAATTATGTAAATATATTTTGTTTATTATCAGGCTATTTAATATTCACATCTATATTTATCTTTAATATTGTCTAATTTTTATTTTTTCTTATATTTAGAAAAGTTTTGTTACTGGTATTATCAGTCAGAGGACATGACCGTTAGGACATGACTTGAAAAATGACTAGAATGTAGCAGACAAAGAGACCATGAAAGAAACCTCCTGGCAAAATATCAGCATGTGTGGAAAAATTGAGGAAGTCAAGCAAAAATACATCCAATTTAAGGAAATGAGAACAAACTAGTACCATTGCAGAGTGGGGGATGAGTCCTCAGGACCACTCAGAGTTCGAGTCAGAAAGAGGAGTGGGATTACAAAACGCAGAATGTAGAAAGGCAGCTGAAGGGTTAGGAGTGTCAGGGAAACGTCAAAGAGACAATCTCGAATGCTGTGGAGAAGAATGTTTGAGATGCACTATGGTTGCTTGGCTTAAATAATAACTTATATTTGATCAAGAGCTATGGTTTATTGATCTAGCATCTCAACCAGGATTTAAGGAGCACAATTTTCCCATGTCTTTGCTTTGCTGTACACAGTGTAAATTTAATCTTAAATCTGGTTTCCCTCTTGCCAGTGGAAAAGAGTTATATGAGTTCACATCCCTTAAAAGGGTAGATTCTCTTTTTGTTTAGATCTACAAACATTTCCTTATGTTCTATTGGCTACTGTTGAGACACCTGCTCATTTATGCATGAGCAAGAGAAGTAGGATTACCTTTAGACCAATCACAATGGTGCTGAGTGTGGGATCATCATCTCCTAGAGCACCTGGGTAGGTGGTGATGGGCTATGTGCCTAGATTAACCTGAATTCTGCTAGGAAGGAAGAAAAGAGTAAGAGATGCTGAATAGGCAACCAACAATGTGCAACACAAAATTAATGAAAAGCAAGGACTGAAAAGTATAGATTTGATTTACCAACTAGGTCACTTGTGAATATAGCAAGTTATAACAGAGAGGGAGCCAGACTAGAATGGGTGAAAGAGAATGGGAAGAATTAAAAACACTTTCAAGAAGTGTTGTGAAGGATACAAAAGTAAAGTAGAAGTGGAAGGAAAGGACGATAGGAAGAGCATCCAATAGGGCTGGAAAGACAGTTGGAGATGGGATCTAGAGCATTTGTGAAAGATTTGGTTACAGGCAGGATGCATGAATGTTTCCCATTACAGTGTAGTGGGCGGAGTATGGACAGAGATGAGGGACTGCATTGAATGTGGGAGCATGCAGTTGTTCCTGTGTGGTATGAGAATGTTATTCTATGAAATGGGAGATTGGGTCATCAGCAGACAATGAAAGAGGCAAAGGAAGTCAGAGGATTGAGGAAGGCAGGGAAAGAATTAAATAGTCAATGAGAGAGTAGAAAAAATTTCTTGCCAGGGAAAGCTGATAAGGCATCCAGATAGCGTTGAGTGCTCATTTGGGATTTTACACTATGTTTTTTTTTTTTTTCCTTTTTTTCAGTATTTGGTTTTCCTTCCTTCCTTCCTTCCTTCCTCCTTCCTTTCTTCCTTCCTTCCTTCCTTCCTTCCTTCCTTCCTTCCTTCCTTCCTTCCTTCCTTCCTCCTTCCTTTCTTCCTTCCTTCCTCCCTTCCTCCCTTCCTCCCTCTCTTCTTTCCTTCCTTCCTTCCTTTTCTTTTTTTCTTTTACTTTCAGTGAATAAGAGTATGTTGTCAAGAACATATGTTGTATATGTGTGGGTGGGTGTGTTTTTAATAATTATATGTGTGTGCACCATTATGTGGTTTCTTCATCTCAAAGAATAATTTTTACTTTCTTGAACAGGCTAGCCAACTAGGCTAGACATTTATCTTTTTACCTGAAAAAATTTCTCCTTAACATTTTAGCTTGAAGATTATAAGTTTTAAACAATATAGTGTTATTTTTGTGACTATTTGTTTTCATAATAGTAAACTAATATGATTTTTAATTTTTCTAGGTATAGATCTCTACTGGTTCATTTTTGACTGGCATAGGGTATGTCTTTTAACTCATACTTTTTTTTTCTTTATGAAAACTTTAATCTCCTATATATTACTTTTTGATTTGTTATAGTCTATCCATAATTAATATGATTTATCTGATATATGTTATTACAGAGGAAATTATGATGGAGTGAGAACAAACACAGAAGACTGTAGTGAAAGCCCAAGCCTTCTTATCAGTACTTGACTAAATCTGTGCTCTGAACTATTGGTTCTCAAGGAGGACTTGTTAAAACACAATTGCTGGATCTCATCAACAATTTTTGATTCAATAGTTTTCAGGTTGAGGCTGAGAACTTGTATTTCTAACAAGCTCCCAAGGGACACTGATATTGCAGATTCAGGAGCCAAATTTTGAGAGCAAGTACTTGGAACCACTACATTTGTCTTGCTTCATTAAATCAAAGTAAAGCAGCAGAGGAAGGAACTGTATTGGCTGAACTAAAAAAAAATGTACTGAGTAAATTATAAAGGATCTATTAGTTCTTCTGAATTTGAGATGTGTTTGAAGGAAACTTCACAGAGACATTAGGATTTGAGCTAAGCTTTGAGGAAGATCCATGGCTTTCTAACATTACAGATTACTCAAAATCAGAATGTTCTGCATTGGAAGGCAGGGAGATATCTGTATACAGTGATGCTGCAGAAGGGATGGGTCACTGGATGTTATTCGTAAAGCAGATTCAGGTATCAAGTGTGTTGCACCAGATATCATGAGGGACCCTTTCATGAGTTGCACTGAAGTGTTAAGTAACTGGACTGGAGCCATAGGTCAGGGTTTAAATCCAAACTCCACAAATGACTGGCCACGTACGTTTTTAAAAAAATGATTTAATCTCTCTAAAACTCCTTGTATTAGATTCCTATGGCTGCTACAGCAAGATACCACAAACTGGGTGGCTTAAACAACAGATAAATATTGTCTCATGGTTCTAGAAGCTGGAATTCTGTGAATTCAAGGTGTGGGTGGGACTATGTTCTCTTTGAAGACTCTATGACAATATCTATTCCAGGCCCCTCTCCTAGCTTCTAGTAGGTTGTTGGCTTGTGGCAGAATAATTTCAATCTTCAAATGGCTTTCCCCTTGTGTGTATTTATGTGTCTCTGCCCAAATTTCCTATGCGTTTTTTTTAAAGGACACTAATTAGATTAGGGGCCCATCTTACTCACCTGTGACTTCATCTTAATCATATCTGCAGCAAGCCTATTTCCAAATAAGTTCACATTCTGAGATACTGGAAGTTATATCTTCAATATATAAATTTACAGGGTGCTGGGGGGAGACACAATTCAACCTAGAGCACTCTTCTTCTGTGAATGAGGTTTAAAGTGACTTAACTAATTAATAAGATTTTTGTGGAAATTAAATGGGAAAATGTATACAAAGTTTTTATCTCAATAGCTTTTCAATTCATAGCAATGTTATTTTTATTATTATTATTAAAATGTGTCTACTCTTATCTAATATTCTTGATGGGGTCATCTTTTTCCTGTTACCATATGCATTTAAGCTACATGGTCATCTATACTCCCTCCTAACATGTTAAAGATATAGAAGTCTCAGAATATATAGTAGGAAAAAATGTTTACCTTTTATTCGTTTGTGATTTATTTCCTTCTGCTTGTGGGAGAGAATGGATATGTCCGAGTCTTTTCTTTTCAAGCAGAACAGTTTTGCTTTGTGGGTGGCCTCTTCAGAGAGTACATCTCCAGACCAAAGGGCTACAGTCTCTTTATACTAGTCCAGCACTTGTTTTTCTTTCTTTCTTTCTTTCTCTTTTTTATATACTTATTTAATTTTTGCCCTGTTTGTTGCCAAAGGCATGCTGGATGAAGAGACCCTGCACTGGGCCTGTGACCAGCAGGAACTGAATCAATGCTGAGAACACATTCTAACATTTGAATGGGCAGCTTGCAGGTGGGAATGACTTTCAATCACAATATGTGCCAGGCTCAATGCCGTGCTTCAGCTCACTAGTCCATTACCAATTTTCTCCACTCTCTCAGTGTATTACAAATTCAACTCCCCAAAGTTTCCTATATACTCTTTCTTTCTTTTTTAGTTACAGTGACTTTGGATAAGGCCTGAAGGGAAGTTCCATGTAGCACAAGCAAACTTAAGTTGCTGTTTCAATACCACCTGCATCTGCAGGCATTTGGATTAAAAAGGATTTCGACCATTATGTGTGTATGTATTTTTATCATTGAATGCAATATTTTGGTCAGGCTTTTAAGGCACCTAGTCTTATACTTCCTACGCAACCAAAAAACAGAAAGGAGGATGATGCAAGGGAACACTTTGTGTTTGTTTCTGAGTTGTACCAAACATCCCCCTCCTCACTTAACATCACCTATAATGAGAGAAAAAAAAAAGATAACTCCAAACAGAAAACAAGAAGACACCCAAATCATGATGGACGCATGCTTTCACAAACATACATTTCATTATAGTTAGGGAGAGAAATTAGCTCAAACTTTTACCCAAAAATTAACTACCAATTAGTGGTCTTCTAGACCAATAATTCTATGCATAAAAGTGCTAATGTTCCCCTCAAACCTTGCAAGTTTATGGATTATTCACACTTCTCATTAAGAAAACAGAGTTTTGGTAAAATTAAATGACTAGCTTGGTTACATCACTATTAGATAGAGGAGGTGGGATTTCATCTTGATCTTCTGAGTGTATTTCCTAGAGCCTCTGCTCTATGTAGAGTCTACAGATGTTGCCTAAGATCTATACTTCTGGCCTCACTGTAGATGCACAGATCATATGGCATATTTAGTTTTACCTAATCACAGTACTTCCCGGGCAGGGTAAAGATGTCATCCATAAGAATCTTCAGTTCTTTCCTTGGTATCTGGCCCTTTAACTCACCCTCCTATCTGAACAGACTGGACAAAGACAGGTCCAGATGAGATCACTGGATCTTGTGTCACTGTGCAACCCAACTAGTGAGACATGCATCCATTACAGCTTCCTTTCATGCACTTCCAACAGAGCCCAGAATAACCAAGTCAATTTTAACCTATTTCCAGCTCAGCTGCCCTGCCTCCCACAGTTGACTGGAGACATATTTTTATTCATTTAATTATACATAAAAAACACATATATACTACATATACCATTACTGTATGTGTCTACATACATATGCATATATATATTTATTTTCTTAGCTGTATTACCTCCATAATACTTGGATATCTTTTTGAACCAGAATTTTAGTAATATTCTATCTACATTCTATCCAAACTATGGGTTTTTCAGGGATCTGATAATTGCACATTCATATCTTGTATTTTTTCTTAAAAATTAATATTCATTCATTAGTTAATAATTATTAATTACAATAATAATAATTCATGATAGCATTTGATTGTGTTCTATCCCTCCTATTATTTAAAAATATATCATAATTAAAAAAATCTTTGTACCTTGGCTGAATAATAATCTGTTGGTAGACAGGAAATGGATTATCACAATCTTCCTTTTCCTTATGAAACTTAGCACAGTTGTATTCCCTTAAAATTTATCCAGTGCGAATTGAGTTTATACAAACAATTTATTCATAGGACTCAAGGCTTAATCATGCTCATTTTGCTATTTGACTTTACTAATTAGTGGTGAAACAAAGCCAAAGCAGGCTATCCATTGTATCAAGACCTGGGGATATTGAGGGACTCTTGGCACGACTTGTACTTTGTCAATAAGTAGTGAAGCCAGAGCACCTTCAGAAAATGAGAGCTTTAGGGAGCCAGATGAGAGCTAACTACCCTAGGAGAGGCTAACTACCTAGTTTCTCTCATCAGCCTTTCTAAACAAAACTCCACAAGAGAAGTAAAGCCTAACGTTTTCAGAGGCATCCATTTGGTTTAATGAGTGGCCTTCTTCCCTATGCAACTATAATGGTAGTACATTGATATCATCTTGGATAAATTGAGATAATAGTCACGGGAGGGGCCAGGCGTGGTGGCTCACGCCTGTAATGCTAGCACTCTGGGAGGCCGAGGCGGGTGGATTGCTTGAGGTCAGGAGTTCAAAACCAGCCTGAGTAAGAGTGAGACCCTTTCTCTACTATAAATAGAAAGAAATTAATTGGCCAACTGATATATATATATAGAAAAAATTAGCCGGGCATGGTGGCGCATGTCTGTAGTCCCAGCTACTCAGGAGGCTGAGGCAGCAGGATTGCTTGAGCCCAGGAGTTTGAGGTTGCTGTGAGCCAGGCTGACGCCACGGCACTCACTCTAGCCTGGGCAACAAAGCGAGACTCTGTCTCCAAAAAAAAAAAAAAATAGTCATGGGAATTATTTTCTAGATTTGGCAATTTAGATAAGGAACCCCAATTGAGGTGTTGAGGAAAGCTATCTCACATTTTCTATTACTTTTTCACTCTTAAAAAACACAAAGTGAGTACATGTGGTGTTTATTTTTCCATTCTCGTGATACTTCACTTACTAGAATGGGTTTCAGCTGAAATAAAAAAGAAAAAAAACCACAAAGTGGGAAAGAGCAGCAAACACTGACCCCCAATTTAGGGGCAGGTAGTGTCATGCATGTGAACTAATTTATTGTAATAATATAACTAGGTTTTTGAGAATCTGTCTCCTAGGGAAGCTATTCAGTAGGTCTTCACATTCCCCATAGTATCTTTTCTCTGTTCAAATAGACATATGCCGTATGTGAATGTGGTCCTAGAAAGATGACCAACAAAAGATGTTGCATCAGGATAGTCAATGTGAGTGATGTTGGGAATATTATAAAATGCTGTAAGTATACTCAAAGAGAAAATAGAGATTTCTAAGTAAAGACTTTACAACTGAAAAATTACTGTTAAACAAATGTTAGGCCTTGGGATTTTTCAAATACAAATTAAGATTTCCCTAGAACAGTCTGTTTTAAGTGGTTATTTCTTATCCTAAAAAAAGAAAAGTCACAGAATGGCAATTATGGTATTTAAGGTTATTCTTTTGTCATAGTTCATTTATAGGTTTTAGTAGATAAGAAATGATAAATAATGAAACAATAGAAACAATTGATTCTAGATCTGGAGAAGCGAGGCATAACTTCAATTTGAGTTTCTAAATCATCTTCATTAGTCATGTTACCATGAACAAGTCCCTCAACTTCTTTGAGCCTCAGTTTACAGAACTACAAAGTACCAACTCTTAATCTCAAAGGTTGCGGTAAAAATCAAGAGATGATATATATAGTACCAATATGCTCTGAAGCAACATTACCAAGTCCACAAAGATCTATTGATTAAAATGGTTATATTTTCATTTATTTGTATTTTGTGCTTTATAGATATTTATCTAGTTATCACAAGACCACTATGAAATAAGTCAAAAAAGATTAAGTAATTTGCCTGAGGTCAGTAAACGAATAAATATCTAGCCTCGTCTCCTGTCTGCCTGATTCCAAAGCCCAATTTTTATAGTCTTTATGTTATATAACTTTAGCTGTCTAATTATTTTAATGTCCCTGTTGATTTAACTTTTGCAAATGATTTACATCTTAAAGTACATCATGAGGACCACCAATTGAACTACACAATTAGGAATGAAGGTGGAATCTTGGAACAAGAAAGTTCTGTCAAAGTCATCTAGGTGAACTTCTTGCTTTACATAAAGCTCACAAAACAAACCATTCCAGACACATTGTCAGGGAAGGAATTAACTGCTCGGCTAACTCCTCCTCTGCTTAACCATGCTTACTACCCCCAGAGTTTCTCCTTACATCATTTGAATTCCCTCCAGCTGCAATTTATGCCCTTCTTCTCTTATTCTTGCCTCATCAGAGAGGGAGAACAGCTGGGCACCATCCTCCACATGATCCCACTTGGGATAATGAAGGCGGTTATTGAATCACCCCTCAGCAATTCCAGTCCAGGTCTTGCCACATAGACCTATTTACTGGGGAACTGACAAAGATGGCAAGTAGAAGGAAAATGGATTTAAAACATATTCACACCTAGTAAAATGCTGAATAGGAAAACTGTTTTAGGAGTGAATATCGTATCTCATTATTTTGCTGCAGATAATGTTCCGCAATTGTTTGAAATCAAGAGGCCATTCCATAATGGCTAAAGATATGATTTTTTTTTATACAATTTGAGTTTGGCTTTATCTGAGTTGGAGGTAATTAAGTCAGGAAATCCAAGGTGAAAAAAGGAGGTCTGGACAAGGGCCAGCAGGATATTTGATCCAAGGCACATGTGTCTGAAATTAAATTTGGGAGTTAGACTGTGCTGTCCTTAAATCATGATGGCAAATGAAGGGAAACCTTCTGTGTGCTAAGAAAAGGGAATATGTAGGCTGCTGCCTTACGGGAATTACAGGGGACAGGGATAATTCCCAGAAACTCCACAGATTGACTGAAAGGCTGTTTGGCACATCAGAGTGAGGGAACGAGAATGGACAGCTACCTATAATTACCTTGTCCAAGTTCCTGAGAGATTGCCTGTGTGCCCAATGGATTTGGGCAGGTACAGCTGGAGTGTGCAGAAAATAAGGCATTGCCTAAATGGAACGATTTTTAAGGGGAATGAGCCCCCTTCAGTTTGAAATCAATTAGATATATGTTGTTTCATTCATTGTAACTTTATTTTTTGATACTATTTTTTAAATAAGTTTTCTGCATCTAAGGGTTTCTTGCTGGAGGAATAACATTCTCCATTCATCAAGCGAGCCCATGGCACACTCACAAAAATAATGAGTATGCAAGAATGAGAATCACATTTGGGCTCCAGCTAAGGTGGGAGGATGGTAAGACTATTCATTCATTCATTCATTCTTTCGCCCAAACATCCATCATTACAATGGAGATAAAAACAGTATCCATCTTAGTGATGAGCATTAAATGTGGTAGCACATAAAGATAATTGTGCACCATACATAATAACAGCTCGATAGACATTGTCTATCAGTATCTATAATTATTAGAAAAAGAAAGATCCATAGGCCTTAAGAAGGGCTTTGATGAGTTCATAAAACTAGAGTTTAATGTGAAAAGTCCTTTAAGACAAAGTCCTAGAGCAACTGACACTGTAGTTGCTAGTTTTTGAGAAGGAATGGAGGGTTTCACAAAGAAGGTAATGATATTTATTTGGTGCTGGTTTAAGCACATCAGAAATATTTTTGTTTTCTTGATGTAGCACTTTAAAGAAGATATTGATCATTAGGCCGGGCGCGGTGGCTCACTCCTGTAATCCTAGCACTCTGGGAGGCCGAGGCGGGCGGATTGCTCGAGGTCGGGGGTTCGAAACCAGCCTGAGCGAGACCCCGTCTCTACTAAAAATAGAAAGAAATTAATTGACCAACTAAAAGTATATATACAAAAAATTAGCCGGGCATCGTGGTGCATGCCTGTAGTCCCAGCTACTCGGGAGGCTGAGGCAGGAGGATTGCTTGAGCCCAGGAGTTTGAGGTTGCTGTGAGCTAGGCTGACGCCACGGCACTCACTCTAGCCTGGGCAACAAAAGTGAGACTCTGTCTCAAAAAAAAAAAAAAGAAGAAGATATTGATCAATTAGATTATATCCTTGTGAAGTAATTAATTTGAATAGAAAAAAAATTGAGAGAATTTTATTTGTTCAACTTAGAGAGGGGTTAGGTAAGGATATACTAATGGTCTTACATGACTGCATAAGGAATATAAAAATCTTTTCAAGGAATAAAAATCAAGACTACATAAACTAGAAATCTCAAGGAAAATTTTATTCATTAAATATAATTTTTCAAATAATAGAATATGACCAAAGTATGATTGAGCTGTCTCAAGTGGTATATGAGTTACCAAAAATGTGGAGCATAAACATATATTGAGGATCATATTTGGAGATTAGTGTATGAACCTTGCCAGATATTTTTTACATTAAGAATTTTATGATTTGATTAAATGTTTTCTTAAAGTAGACATTACCAATTAATAATGTTTCAAAGACTTAATGGACTGAAAGCGTGCTCACTAAAATAATTCCTCTGCAAATTTATCTGAGAGGAAGTAAAACATTTTCCTTAAATGAAATATAATCAATATGAAATGAAAATTATATTCTTGTAATAGTCTGTTTTAAGTTTTAGGAAAATTATTATTCTTCCATTCACCAACAGAGCTTCCAGATATTTCACTTTGTAAAGTCCCTTTGGGGTTGTAACAGGCCAGTGAAAGTCAGCTGTGAGACCAGGGAGGATCCTCTTCCTGTAGAGGCATATTGTTGACTGGGATGGATGACATGTCAAGGAATGCACCAGGGTTTCTGACTCAAGGCAAGAGTAGCTAGGACAGTTTTGTAAAACAACTACTTGCAGTAACAGTGGATGCACTGATCAGGGATAATCACCTTTCCTACATCCTAATGATGAATTAAATTTATGATGGTCCAATGTGAAAAAAAAATCTGAAGTTTGCACCATGATCTGTAAGATCTTGAGCTCGTCTACCTACACCAACATCTCATACCACTTTCCCTTTCTTTCATTATGTTTCAGATTTCTTTCATTATGTTTCAGTAAAAGTCAGATTTACTGACTTTTTCTGTCTCTTGGTCAAGCCAAGCTCACTCCTTGGTGTATTTGGACTGTTCCTCTGCCTGTTCTTCTCCAGATCTTTGCATGATTGTCTCCTCCAGATCATTCACATTTCAACTTGATATTCCTCTCTCACCATAGATCTGTTTTAGTTAACCTCTTCTGTCTTTCATCGTCGCTCTTCAGCCCATTAATCTATTTTATTTTTTTAATAGACTTTGCTTTCTATCTCTTTAAAATGATGTAATACAAATATATAGAGCAATTTAGGGCTCATACATGTACTAAATACATATTAATTTATCTCAGATATATTATACATTTATGTGTTTATTGTCCTCTGTCATCTAAACTATTCAGGCCTCAGTTTCATCACTCTTAATTAAGAATAACCATACTATTTATTTCTACTGCGGTTATGATGATTAAATGAGTTAACATATGCAGAGCACTTAGAATAGTGCCTGACACAAAATACATGCTTCTCTGTGCAGGATATTTGATTTTTCCTTCTTCTTGATTATGAATGAAGTGGCTCTCAGCCCTATATTCTTAATATTTACATTTTGTAAGATATAGCATTACTTTTACTATGGTTATATATAAAATTTATAGATAATATAACCTAATTAGACACTTAAATTTAATATCAATAAATTTGTCACTTAAATTTAAAATCAATATAATATTTTAGTTTATTTATATAACAATTATCTAGAATAAGATTATTATATTTGGTATGGTATATGAAAATTGTGCAGAATTTGGGGTAATTTTCTTCGAAAAGCAGAAATATCTTTGCATTATAGGATACATAGTGTTCCTTCTGCAAACTGACAAATTCCACAACCTCTCCACAGGACAGAGTGCTACTTCCTTGTGAGCCTGGGCTCTCATTGTTTCTTCTGAGATACAATGAATTCCTCTGTATTCCTCTACCTAGTTACAAATTATTTGATTTTTTTTATTTTTTATTAGAATATGAATATGTAGGAAGTGTTTAATGTAATTATTTATTATGCCTTTTTCTAGAGGAAGGAATTAACATACAAAGTTGTGGGGTACAGTGTTAACTATCTATTTCCTTTCTGCTGGACCTCAGCAAGGTGGTCTTTCCTTAAGACTCTCTCATGATTCATGATGGGATATAGCTTTTCATGATTTTAAGGCTCTATTTGAGGAATGAATACTAAACTGAGAAGGATATTAGGACAACAGATCTAAACTGGGACTTACCAGGGCAAACTAGGACATCTGGTCACCCAATACAGCAGTATTTCCTTTATTAGCATGCCCCAGGCCATCAAACTCAAGAGAAACAATAGCTTTGATCCAGACAATATCTCTTTTACTCTCCAGGCAACTGTCTGGCACAGCCTCAGGATTGAAATACTCTTCTAACCACAACGATCCAGTTTTGCCCTTGAAAAATTTCCTCAAAGCTCTCCTTTTTCAGGTCAATTGTGGCAAGCACATATTTCCTCTAAAAGACTCTAATAACTTAACTAGGGAAGTCCATATTCCATTATTTTCCAGATAAAGAAAAGAATAAACCTGTAGATGTAAAGCAGCTTTGTTATGGTCAGAGTAATCAGAGAAAGTGTTGCCAGATAAAATACAGAATGTCAGTTAAATATGAATTTCAGATAAATAATGAATTTATTTTTAGAATAAGCATATACCAAATATAAAGTATACCCCAACCTCTCCCCACTTCTATCCATGCTCACATCAAGGAAAGGCCATGTAACATAGCAAGAATCTGCAGGCTATCTACAAGAATCTGATGTCCACCTTTTCAACCAGGAAGAGAGCCTTCACATGGAACCAAATAGGTCAACACCTAGATCTCAGACTTGTATAAGTCTAGCCTCCAGAACTGTGAGAAGTAAACCTGTGTTGTTTAAGTCACCTAGGTTATGATATTGTGGGACACCAGAGCACATCACCCCAAAATATGTCTCCTTTGACAAGAATTGTTGAGTTGAGGGCAATTAAGAAGAAGCAGACATTGGAAAGCTCTCTGCTCACCCTCTATTAGCCTAAAAGCAGTACAAAGTTTACAAAGACAGAAGGTATCCCACTTTCCCTTTCTACCAGGGAGAATAAAGGTTAATCACTGAAGACAACTTTGGACCCTTATTGGCCTAGAGATGGCACCAGAAGAATCTAAATTACTAACAGGCTTTATTCGCCACTTACTTGCCTTCCCCCAATTGGCCATCCCAAAGTTGTCTTGTCCCTGCTCCAAAAATTTACTGTCCTTTGCTGAAGATACTGAATAAGCTAATATTCAAAGCCATGTCTTTGAGAACTACTTATTCCATGGAATAAGTAGTCTTATGTATGCATGAAAATATGAATATTAATAAAATTCTTTTTATTATTTTCTTGTGAATTTGTCTTTTGCTATAGGGGTCCATTCTATTGAATAACTTATGAGGGTTGAGAAAAAAAATCAACTTTTCCTCTGCTGCAGTATTTTACTGTGGCAGCCTGATCAGATTAACACAGGATAGTTATAAAAATAGTTTTGATCATCATTCTACTTTTGTCTCTACGAATGTGAATACTAGAGGTACCTCATAAAAGTAGAATCATACAGTATTTGTCATTTTGTGGCAAGCTTATTTTACTTAGCATGATATTCTAAAATTTCATCCACCTTGTAGCATATAAGAGGATTTCATTCCGTACTAAGTCTTAATAATATTCCATGGAATGTATATGCCATGTTTGTATATCTATTCAGTTATGGGTTTGTTTTAACCACAAATAAAAATATTTAAAATATGTTTTTCAGCTTTCCAAGCCTCTAAAACTTCTCTGGAATACCCAAGAGTCTACAGGCCACACTTTGAGAACTGCTGGTATAAAAGTAATTTTAATAGGAAATATTATAAGTATAGTGTTTAAATTAGTAATTACGTAGCATTTACCATGTGCAAAGGATTTTTTTATATGTTTTTACATATTATCCCTTTAAACCTTCAATAACAACCTGAGGATATAAGTGTTACTGGTTTGTTTCTTTCCGTTTCATATAGACACTAAACTGAGGCTACACTCTTGGTTTTTTGGGAGTACAGCCCATGTCGTGTCAGGGAAGAGTAGCCTGAATCTGTATAAGCAGAACTGAGAGAACCCAGCTCAATGCTCTTGAACTAACTGGACTCAAAATCTTTTTTTATTGGTTGACACATCTTCTCTAGCAATGGTGGAAAATTTTGATATGTTCTTTTCCCTTAATTCTGCTGTTGTGCTGATGCAGACTGCTGTGGGCCTGGCATCAGGGGCTTTGTTGCTTGTTGGCATTGCTCCTTCCTCTGCTGTAAAACCTCGTCACTTCCCCATGGTCTGTACCAGTGAGCCTTCACTTCACTCCTTCCCTGAGCAGGGCTTTCTGATAGTGTCACCACTCCAAAAGCCACACTGAGGGAGGCTAAAAAAAAAAATCCACGCTCATCTTTACATTAGGATTCCCAAAATATCAGCCTAGTCCCTTATGTCTTTTTTTTATATTGCTAATGTTTACAAATTGCTTATTATTTCCCTCTTTCAGTTGTCCACATGTGCTCCCAGGGATCCTAAGGATTGGGTGGGAGGACAATTTGGGATAGCGTTAAACATCCTCTACTTTGTCGTGAAACGAATGTGAACACTGCTGTGTCTATTCTAGCTGAAAAATAAAGCAGATAAATATGAATGAGATATTTTGTAAGTTTTGGATGAAACCTTTATACAGTTTTAGTGCAGTGTCTTACAAATAGGAAGATTGAATAACAGCTCTTTTAAAAACTTACACTATATATATTAAAACATAACCATTAATTTTGCTCACATTTTTGTTCTCAACCAACTGCATCAGAACTACCTGAGTGAATATCAGCAATTAGTTAAAAATATAAAATTTTGGATTTTAATTTGTCAGAAATATATATTAGGTAAGTCTGAGGTAGAGTTAATCATATATATTTAAAAGTCTCTGCATATCATTCTTAGGTAGAACATACCAATACAAAGAATAGCATCTTTTTTCTTAATAAATCTACTTTAGTACCATGCTCTCCGGCCGAGGAACCTTGCCCACAGCTGGCACTCATAGTCCGCACGATAGTTTGTGCTGTGCATTGACGATGAATCAGTTTTGCTCTTGTGTGATGAGGAAAGCTTTAAGGCACTGAAAGCTTGTTTTACTTTACAGGGAGCTTTAGCAAAATAACTATAATAACTCCTACTAAGGACTTGTAAAAGATTACAGTTTCGTAGTAACTTATTAGCTGAACGTACATACTGCAACTGCAGAGATAAAAGTAAAAGCTTTTGGCTGTCAACTAAAGTTGAGGCTCGGCTGTGTGCCTTCCTATCACTGCTGTTGGCTGAAGTCGACGCTTGCATTCATCTGTGGCTATCGACTGTATCGACACTGGGCTGTGCGTGTTTACCTGTGGCTGACGGCTATAGTCAACGCTGGTACCGAAGTGGTTAATTAATAATGATACTAGGAGCGATTTCATGGCATGCTGTATACCAGGCACTATTTTAAGTGTTTGAAAATGCAGTTGATGGGGTTTAAGACACTACCCCAAAGTATGGCACCTTGGCATTTGAGAAAGCGGCAGAAGCAGGAATGCAACCCTCATGAAACCTAGGAAGAATTTTCTGACCTTTGCCTGAAATAGGTTATAAGACCCTCATTCAAGAGCTGTCGTCCCTGTAACCAGAGTAAAGGGACATTCTTATCTCTGACATCGCAGGACACATAGAAAAATCTGAACAAACAGGCCCTGCTATGTCCTACTTCCCCACTTGTTATCATTAGATCATACCCCCTTTCTCTTACTATATTTCTCCATGACTATCCACTTCTTCATCAAACCTAGGGAAAAGAATATACAGGTTTACCTGTCTTTTAGGTCTATATGTCCTTATAAAGGGTCTTGAGCAGAAGTCCTCAAACAACGGCCCGCGGGCCACATGTGGCCCGCCGAGGACATTTATCCCACTTGCCAGATGTTTTGGCCGCTGCCTGTCCTGCTTAGCAGCTGACTTGTCCTGGGCCCACAGTGCGTATGTGTGGAATGTGCGCTGTACTCTCCAACGGCCCTCCAATGGTCTGAGGGACAGTGAACTGGTCCCGTGTTTAAAAAGTTTGAGGACCCCTGATCTCAAGTCACACAAAACACTAAATACATGTGTGTGCTTTTGTCTTGTTGACATGTCTTTTGTAACAGAGGCCTTGGCCATGAACCTAAGATGAGAAGAAAAAAATATTTCCTTTTTCTACACAATCTTGACTGGTAGAAGAATTAGGCAAATCCAGGCAGACTACTCTCAGTCTGTTTTTAACCACTATGCCATATTTTCTCCACGCTCAGAGAAAACGCTTAAGTGAGAAGTTACCTGCAGTGAAGCAAGCCAGAGCATTACAATGTGTTCACTTGCACTGTCTTTTCTAGGTTTTTTAATCAAATGATCTGTAAGATTCCCAGAGTTGGATCTCAAGAACTTAGTGAATATATGTTGATTAATCCATCACTTGGGATTGTGAAAATATTTTCTAAATGATTTCTAACGCATTGGCTATGGGGAGTATTAATAGTAGAAGCAAAAAAGCCCAAGAACCAGAACTTATCATGCTGGAGGGCTAATCTCACAAATACAAGCCTAGTGACCTTTGAACCAGGAGGGAAACTTTAATTGTGGATCTGGTGAACGTTCCAACCTTTCTAGTCCTCCAGTGAGAGATGCATGATCCACCTAGCTGATAACTAAGCTCGGAATACTGAAGCCACAGGGGTTCTCCAGGAAAAGTTACAGCATTTTTAGTTTCACAGCAAAATCATTTTATACTTTCAATGTTATTGGGGATGTGAGGTAAAGGTAAAATAAAACAACAACAACAAAATAATAATCAAATAAACAAAATAACAACTACAACCACCCCTGAGGCATTGACTTATAAAATATGAAATAACTATAAATATGGTAAATTTCTACCAACCTTCTATCAGAGGTACTTGTCATTCTACTAGGTCAACAGTAAAATCATAGTTGGACCAAGACACTTGATTATTGTGGGAACCTCACTCCCATTACGTAACCTTCAATGTCTTCTATAACAGTAGTATATAACTGAGTAAGGACCTCAGGACAGATACAGACCATTGAAAGCTCCTCCAAGAACCATCAGAGATTTGTTGCTTTCAAACAGAATTGCACAATTATACTTTTGGATAATTAAAAGTTGTCTCATTGCTATAATTAAACCTGAAATAGATTAGTTATAACTGAAAATAATAAGAACAAAGACATTTACATTAAAACTATGCACTCTAAGGCTAGTCTACTAAAGCACAAGTTCTGGAACCAGACTGCCTTGTTCTACATCCAGTCTCTATCATCTATTAGGTATGTGGCCTTGAGAAAGTTGCTTAAGCTCTTTAAGTTTTCTCATCTGTAAAATCTAGATAATCATATTGCTCATTTCATAGAGTTACTGTGTGGATTAAGTTAATTAATATATGTAAAGCTCTTAAAAAGTGCTTGATGTATAACAAGAATGATATGTGCTATTATTATGTTATTACTCGTAAGAAAGACCTTAATGTACTCACCAAAGACCTAAGTTCAAAAAAGTGGTATAGGCTACATGTGTGGTAAGAATTCAGAAGAGGTAGCAATCACACAGGCCTGAATACAGCAGGTAGGAACAGTCTCCACTCTAAATTTCAGTATAAACGTCTACATAGAAGCACCTGCCATTCTGGCATCTCATAGCTATTGTGATAACCAAGTGAAATAATGTTTGGAAAGAGTTGCATGAATTTATGATGTGTGATAACTATGTAATTTATCAGTATTGTTATAATTATAATTTTATGAGAGGCCTCAAGGAGATGGCAGACCTTGAAGGAAGAGAAATAAAAAGAGTTTTCCTACTGCAGATGGAATAAGGTACTCAAACGCCCAAATGCACCCAGTCATCTTTGCACTATGTCAGAGGCCAGGCCAAGATTGTAGCTCACTCTTTTTGTTTGTTTTAAGTGATAAACACTAAAATAAAGGAGAGAGAAAGAGAGAGAGAGAGAAAGAGAGAGAAGCAAGCATTCACTCCACCAATATATATATATTCAAAATTATTTTCACTTCATCGACTGCCAGCAAGCAGGATATGAAACTGTCATCTGCTGGATTAGTGAGCTGTCTGTCAAATCCCTTAGGATTGTTGGAGCTAGTCCTCCATTTCATTGCTAGCCTCTGAGTGTTATAGCATTATGGGCTGTCCTTGTAATAATCTATTCTCCTGTATTCTTCCTTTCCAGAAATGTCTCAACTGTCCGAGGAAAATAATATCTTAATATAATTCCCTCAAATCATATTAAGGGGTGATATTATACATACACACACACATATAAATACACACATTCATTTATATAGATGTATGTATGATGCACTTGCTATGAACTTTTTTTTGCAGTTAGGTAGTAGGGTTTCCTTTGGACTTTGTTTTTGTTTTTAAATATATCATCAGGTTTTCTTATTAAAAAGCATTAAATTCTTTATTAAGTTAAAATTTTAAAAACACATTTTAGAATTGTTAATTGCAAGTCCTTTCCAGACTTATAGATGGCCCAATCCATTTGATGAAGAATAAGGAATAGGTATTAAACTCCAAGTAGAAATTGTTTTTGAATTGGAACTTCGTAACTCCTCTGGGACTGATTTATTGAGTCATCCACATAGGCATGATTTGGATCCATTATGCTTAATAACCCAGAAAGTTTGGAACGGCAAGTGGATGTCATTGCTTTTGCTGTTCTGTTCTGTACTCAATTCTAAGTTGGATCATCAGGGGAAAAAATGAAGAAAATGTTGCACTTTTCTTTTTAT